GGAAGGTCATGATGTATTTTATGCAAAAATGTATCATGATTTTCCCAATAGCCCTGGGAAAAAAGGGTAAGTCCACATTAATTGATAATACCATTGAATTCTGGGGCTAAATTTCTGAGCTAAAAGGTTAAAAATGCAGATTCAACTATTGGGTTGTTGTAAAAGTCATGATGTATTTTTCTACATTTTCCTATGCAAAAATGCATCATGACTTTTCCGATGACCTGGTATTTTACATACAAGCAGGTGTAAGTACAAATTTGCCAATTATGTGATAGGTAGTTGTCTCCACAGGTTTCAATTTATGCATTTACTATAACCATTACTCATTGTATAAAACTAGATAACAGGAAAAGTCCAAAATGTTAAGTAGCTGAGTCTTTGGAATGACTTTAAAGAAGGCTAAAATCAAGACCTTTGTAATCACAAATCACTGACTTTAGTATGTCTTCACTTTAAACACCTCTTCCCAATTTTGTTTTGTTTTCGCTTTGTCAAGAACTTAGTTCTTTATGCACATGCATGATATGGTACTATGGTCTTACAACTCACAGCAAGTCAGTAAAAGTGTTCTTTATCTCTCTCTTTCTAATGCACTACTGTTAGGTACAACTTATCTGTCTCTAAATGGAACAATGATTGATACCGCAGATCTTTTCAGATTATAAACTCTTATCTCCAACAATTCTCTACATAGAAATGACAAAGTCATCTTTTATTGGCTATGTTAAGATTATTGTTGTTTTAAAAAATTCATTCTTATTAATTTATGAGATGTTTTGTCATCCGATATTTAATCAATTTGTTTTTCTTTAGAACTGTATTTCACAGTAAAGGATGTCATAGACAATTCTGTACATACTTCCAGAATGAGCACTGGAGTGGACTTCAAAAATTCACAGCATAATATTAAATGTTGAAGATGGTGAATATGTTTATATCCTCAATTTGTTTATTACACATCATATACATGCTTTTAAAGACCATTCTATACCCTGCAATGTATAATGAATAGATGTAAATCACAATAAATATTAAAAAAAAAGAAAAAAGTTCATGGAAAGAAAAAAAGATTGATGGGTTTACTCCAAATTTCTACCACATCTAATACAGCCAGTGATTTTTAATCAGCAAGTCATTCTAACAGATGATTAAATTACTCATGGAAAGAGCACAGACTTTGGGGAACCAGCAGTTAGCGTAATGGCTATGTCGCTGGACTCCCACGTAGTTGACCACGGTTCGCGTCCTGGACCCGATGGCTTAAAACTCACGCTGGGTGCGTGTGCGTGCGTGCCCAAGATCCCGAGAGGAGAATGGAGGAGAAGGGACTGCGGCGTGACCATCCTCCCTGGGGGGTGATTTCTCGCTTTCTGTCTCTATGTCTCTCTCTGTCTGTCTGGTGAGCGCATGTGCCCTGTAGTGAAAACCTCTCAAAACAAAACAAAACAAAACAAAACAAAAAAAGCCCCAAAAAACCAAAAAACAAAGAACACAGACTTTGGAAT